GGTTGCTGGGTTCTGAGGAGAGAGAGTATGATGGCCTTGGAGGAAGCAGGGTCCACCCAAGCTCAGGCTCTGCAGAGTTGAAGGAAATGTCTGACCAAATGCTTAAGGAAGCCCTGTAACAAGTATTTAGAAGAGCCAGGCAGCAGCGATGCTCGAGTTACAAAACCTCTCCTGATGGCCAAACTGAAGGCAAAGAGCGGGAAGGCTCTGGGCCAAGGAGCAGTGCTTCTGTGGGCCACGGAGGACAGCGGAAGCCCCACAGATGCAGGAGGCATGCAGAAGCTGCAGGGTGACCAGGCAGGACAGGGCGAGCACGCTCCAGGGGCAGGACTGGCCTCCCGTTGGCCTGTGTGCAGATCCTGCAGGGCATTCATGCTGCGCACTGGGTTCTGTGTTTGGGTTTCCCAGCCTCCATGAGAGGCCCAGTAAAGGTTTCTATGTTCCATAAAAGAGGAAACGCTACTACTCTCACGTAAGCGCTATGGTTTGCACATAGTAGGTTAAGTCAATAAAGGTTTTATTAAATTTTAAGTTGAATGAAATTGAACATTATTTAAAATTTAAAATCATTGAATTTCAAATTCAATTTGAAATTTCTTTTAGAGATACAGATTTCAACATATCATAACTCAGCATTCACCTCCAAACTGAATGGAAACTTGAAGTCCTGTTCTGTAAATGCAAAGTCAGACATGAACCTGGATCTTGGGCGCACCACCAGCTGGCTCTGTGACCTGTAACGTGATTTCCTCATCTGCAAATTGGGTGCAGCAGCGTGCATACCGTGGGCTGTGGCTCCTTTGCGCATGGCACAGGGAGGGGACTGACTGAGCACCCTCTCTCCCTTCCCTAGTGCACCATAACATAATGTGATATTTAGAATTTTAATTCAGGCAATTACTTAAGTAGTAATTGCTATTTGTATTTACATAGCTGCTTTGATCCAAAAAGCTCAAAGGGCTTACTAAATTTAGCATTTTAATAAATGTTTCATTTGCATTCTGTTGATTCTGTTTACCCACACCCCAACTTGGAATTTTCTAAAGTGAGACAGTCAGACAACTCGAAGGGACATGGCTTCAAGGTCAGAACCTGCCCAGCCTGAGTCTCATCTGTGTCACAGAAGGGGTCACAACTCCCCAATCCCCTGGAAGATAGGAGAGCAGGAACCTGGTGTGCCTGCTCCCCTGCACACTCCCTTCTTCAGCTCCTGCCCGCCGAATGCATCCCCACGGTGCTTCTCCAAGGCCCTGACGACAGAGGTGTGCTTATTGCACCAGTGAATTTATACGTAATCAGCACAATAAACATTATTAAATTGTCGGGAGAAAAATCAAAGTGGGAAGCGCGGCACCAGTACTGAATTCTAATGATGCTGAGTGTCCGCGGCTGCGCAGGGACAGGATCTTAACAAGCCTTGATTTCAGCGCTGGCCTCCGCCTCCCAAACCACATGGGCTGCTGCTGCCGTAACACTGCTGAATATTGATAAACGTCTCTGCCCCGCGCAACAGGGAAGTGGGTTTCTATTGGCAATCTTTCCCAAAGTGTGCTTTTCCCCTTCTCTGCACTCAAGGGTTTACCCTGAATGATTTAATTATAATTTTCCTTGTGTAAGACAAATTAAAGAGGAGAGTAGGAGTGGCGTGCCAACCACATTATTTATCTCCTGAACAGATTGCTGCTCACCAGACCCCAGAGCTGCTGCGGCAGAGGCTGCTCACGGGAGACGCACCAGGCCAGGGTGGGGGACTGGGGGGGGCAGGAGTTTTCCAAATGGCAGGGAGACTTGCCACCCGGGTGCCACGCACATCAGACACACCATGACTCTAACCATGCACCAAAACTCTCGTAGGACTGCCTTTCCCAACGAGTTTCCCCACAGAGCCACCCCAGGCGGGAGTCTGTCGGGTGGAGGGGTGCCAGGGGCCCTGGCTGGGCGTGATGTTCCACGAGAATGGGGCAGAGAGAAAGCTCTGCCGCAGGAAGTGGAGGCAGGGCTCTCGAGGACCCGTGTTCACAGGAGAACTAGCAAGGAAGGGCCAGCTCCCGGCACCAGGGAGGACACGCCCTCAGGGACAGCGGCAAGCTTTCTCCCTTTCCTTCACCATTTCCCACTATTTAAACCGCACATCACACATGGGACTTTTAAATTAATCATAATAGGTAATACTCATTTTAAGTACCTATATACATACAAAGCTGGCGGACGAATAATTGATTTTTTAAATGATCAATTCTATAAGCTTAAAAGCGTTGAATTATCTTTAACTGAAGGTGTTCTTGGCCTTCCTGGCTACAGCCAGTGAAAATGTGCTGACTGGGGTGGGGCAGTGGCACAGCTCAGTGGGAGAGTGCGCACCAGGCCCTGGGCTCCAGCCCCAGCAGCAGAAACAATAAAACACAAGAAACTGCACTGGGGAGGACTTTCTTTGAGTCTGGCCACATTTCCTCTAAGCCGAGAGAATCAGGAGCTTAAGTGATGGAGTGTCACTCTGTAGCTGTGTCCTCCCTGAGCACACAGCTGGAACGCAGCCTGTTTTCACACCCAGGCGAAGGCTCCCTGGAACCCGAGCTCTCTTCTGACCCATGGTCTAACTCTGGCATGTAGCGAAATGGAGACACGGAGTCGAGGCACAGTGTTCATGCACACATCCTGAGAGAAGAACCCAACCAGCAGAGCATCCTAGAATCAGTGTCCCGCGGAGCCACTGAGCTTCCAACGTGCCTGAAGACACCCAAAGGGCTGTGCTCCTGGCTCACCTATCACCTGGCTGCATCTACACAAGGAGAGAACCGCCTCGGGACGCCCCTCGCCCTCCCGTGAGAAGACTGCAGAGAGACCTCAAGTGCACCCGTCCACGCTTCTGAGTGCCAGGCCCCCCATGCCTGTGGATGGAGATGCGATTCAATTGTCCAGCAGCAAATGGACCACAGCAACCCTAGGATGGGAAAAGCAAGTCCACCAAAGGGCAGCAGCCCCAACCCTCTCCTTTCAAGCTCCCTAAGACTTTCTATTTAGAAAACATGATGATGACGATGATGATGAAGACAGGAGGGGAGATGACAAAGCAGGGCTTCAGGCCACCTTCCGGCCATGCGTGTCTTTCCCTACTGCAAAGGAGAGCCACACTCTGGCCAGCGGCTCCAAGCAGCCTCGCCCTGTGCCCCATCCTGTTCCTCAAACTGTTCTCAACTAGTCCCTTTAAAGCATCTTTTAGTTTTTGACACCTGCCATGGAGATGTAAACAAGGAAATCTTACCGGCCAGTCCCAAGTTCTAGTGGGAACATATTTATTATTCTCATTTCTGCTGTTTAGGCTCAAACATAATACCTGTGTGTGCATGTGCATATGTGTAGCTGTGTGTCCCCGACAAGGGATGCAGTCTGAGAAGTGTGGTCGTTGGCCCCTTCGGGGGAGTGTGAACATCACCAGTGTACTCACACAGCCTACCTGGGCTACGTGGGGTCACGTGCGCAGCACAACCCATTGCTCCCAGGCCCACAGTGCATGAGTTTAGCCCAGGCACAAGAGAAAAGACGCACGGGAGACGGGGTCAAAATGAGGTGTTTGAGCCTGCCGCTGGCTAACATGACGTACTATTCACCGTCAACGATGTCTTTTAATAGGTAGAAGGAGCACACTCTAAAATGGTGATTGATGAGTACAGCAGAGCAAGTGTGTGGATCAGTAACGGCACCACTCATCACCAGCCAGGACTGTGCGCGGGGTAACTGCACGTGTGTTGTGTGTACATGACTGGTGTACACTGCTGTTGACTCCGGTATCCCCACAACACTCGAGTAGCGCCCTGTGGGTTGGCCCCGCATGGCCGTGAGGCATGGAGTGGTGGGAATTTTTCCCTCCTTTATAATCTTATGGGACCACTATTATATATGTGGATCAGATCTTGACTCTATATAATAAACAGATAACTATTTTCTGATATAAAGATATGTACCTGATTACACCAGTTGCCTTATGATGCTCAACACCATGAGAAAGACATGAAATCATGTTTGCAGCTGCTTAACTGAAATATATAATTCATTTTTTTATGGAGTCATTGCTATTTAAGACAAAACCCAGAATTTGCTTCTTCCTGATGGAAGCAGCATTTACTATCACATCCTGCTGTTTAGGTCTCCCCTTCTGTGTGTGGAAGCTGTGTGTGTGAAACACACAGGAAACAGTTTAGAAAGAGTAAGCTGGAAAGAGCTGTCAATCTTAGGGGTGCTCTCTGCTCAGGAAAAGCACCCTGGTAGCTCGAGGAACACGCCTGGGCGGAAGGGACCACGCAGGGATCAACAGCTTGGCTTTCCTAGAACTCCTTGTGCACATGACATCCTCCAGGCCTCCGAGCCAACCTGGGCTTCCACGAACACACATGTTGAAAACTATGAACTCGTAAGCTCAGGGCAGGAAGGCAGCAGGAGTGAGGCGACCCGATGACCACCGTGCTGAGGAAGCTTGTGTGCGGATACAAGGCCACCTGCACCCCTCCAGCCTCGCGCCCTCACTCAAGGTCTACACGCACCGTGTGCTTTGGGGACACACGAAGGCAAAGACGCGCTTCCCACCTTTACAAGGGCAGCACAGACTAACGTAAGTCCTGTTTCTCAAACCACGATGCGAAATCGCCCACAGCAGATGCGCCTGGTACCAGCAGGTGCTCAGAGCCCAGAAACTGAGCTTGACCAGGGGGAGAATTTGGCAGACAGAGGACCTGGAAGTCTTGACATCTAACCCAACGAGACACTCCAAGACTTCTGCACGGCCCTAAGCCCATGAGATCTACAGCCATACTAATTCCATGTTGAAAAGGTGAAAACAATTAGATGCTCACACACACCCACACCATATTGAATACATTGTTACGTAATTACAGGCACCTTCGAGTCACACTGATCCAATTAGGGAGCCCTGGGCCAGGTGGGGTCAGGCCACCTGCCCTCCCAGGCCGTGGCCAGCCTTCTGCGGGGCCCAGGCCCCTGCCTACCTTTCCCTCTTGGGCGTGTGCACCGAGAGCTGGCCATTGGTGGAGGCGTGTGGGTTCATCACCAGGGAGGCCTTGGCGGGGGCGGAGGAGGACACACAGGTGGTCAGGTCCAGGCTGCTGGGGTTGTTGCTCGTGGCTTCTTCTGCAGTGTGCACACCCGTCACCTCCTTCCAGAGCTGCTGCAGCTCCGTTGGAATCATGCCTGAAACAAACAAATTGGATAATTAAATCAATTAACAGCTAATTCCGGCCTCTTCAAACAGTAATTAAATCAAAGAGTCAGTAAACAAAGCCTAGTGTTAGGGTTTTTTTTGGTGTGTGCAGTTCTTTTTTCCTCCCCTCCCCACCAAGGCAAACACGGGAGCACCTCCTCCCAGGAGCTGCAGGCGGAAGGGCCCTCGTCACGCGCAGACCAGGGACAGGGGCCCAGCAGCTACTCTGCCACAGCAGCGCCCGCCTCCCTCCGCCCAGCTGCTGCTTCCCAATTTCAGGAAAAGCCCGAGGACGGCACCTTATCTCCAGACACAAAGAAGGGCCCAGAATGAAACTGTTCAACTACATTCTTATGACAACGCGGGCCACAAAATGAATGATTTTTGTGCTTAAGTCTTAAATGATGACAAATAGCTTTGTTATTAAATATAGTTTTTATTAATCACTTTTAGACATAAATTATGAATTCATATCGTCTTCCTGAAATGCTTTTCAACTTTTAACAGTCAAATTGATTATACTATGATTATTTCATTAACACACCTATCTTCCTCATTAATTTTGGTTTCTCGTACCACATGCTTAATTGATGGATGTGTCTACTGAAAAACTGTATAACTTTTTACACAAGTAACACTATTATTACTGTCATTTCTTAAATCAATGCTAATGAACCATCGCTGAATGAAACGAAGACGTAAAACAAATTTGGGGCAATAAAGTTGTTCTGTTTTGCAAGGGGGTCAAAGTGGACATGGGTTTAAAGGAGTGAAGTGGCGCCGAGTATTTTTCCCAGGAAGAGTTACCACCAGGACACACCCTGACGATCCTGGACTGCTGGTCTACCCTGGCAGCAGCCCCTGTGGCCCAGCATGCCCAATTTCTACCGCCATGCATATTCCAGCGCATGCACACGCGCAACCGCAAGCCTCTATTGGAGCTACCAGCCACCAGCAGCAGCCGCTTCCTCTGGAAGAACCCCAAAAAGAAATCACACCCCTGAACCTCGTCAGGCAATTCCGCCTTAGACTCAGCCTAGTGGACGGCTGGTCATTGTTTCCACCCAGCATAACAGCCAGCGGGCGAAGCCGGCCATTTTCTGGGTAAGTAGCAGGAGCCGAAAGAGACATGTTTCTTACCAAACTGAAGGTATTGAATTAAAGGAGAAGGCTGTATGCATTATATTCATTTGAAACACATAATAAAAAATGCCAAGGTCTAAATTTAATTTATTTTTGTCATTTAGAATACAATGGAGAGATAATCATCTCAACGTGATCAGCCAAACATCTTTACTTTGCTAAACTGTTAAAGATTTTAATTATGCCAGCATTGGAGAGCGCTGGTCTAATGAGGCGATGGACTCCAGAGAATCCGAGTGGTTAAGAACTGTGAAATGAGTCTGATAGGATTTTTTTATATTCACCGTGGATCGTTTGCATATCAAAGAGGAGTAAATTATTGCACAGCAGACCAATAACCTTCCCCGCCTTTCCGCCAGGAACGTTAACAAAAACAGTTGGTCTCTCCTATCGGTTCTTCGCGAAAATGTTCAAATGCCCAAGTATTTGCAATTAATATATATCATAAAGGCGGCTTCGAAGGATACATGAAGTGGTCAGATGTTCCTAGAGCGCATCCTCCACAGCCGAGTCCGTTTCCTTCCCCCTCCATAAAAATCAAATGCCAATTATATTTTGATGGATTTTGTCCCAAATGAGCATTTAGTTATTAGGCATATTCAATTATTACTTGTCCCCTGAAAATTAAACCTCAGAGGCAAATTAAACAAAGGGAAAGGCCACTATACCATCCCGCGTCCGGTTTTGCTGCATCTGGGCTATTATTTCCAAACACTTTCCCAAGTGACAGGTAGGACGTGCCAGTACCTGGCAAGTCCGCCTCTGCAGTCTGCACACCAACAATTACCTGCGAACACGGCTGACCCTCAGACCCACGTTCGCTCAACTGAACCAGCAGCCCGCCGGCTCGTGTGCCGACAGTGTGCTCACCAGAACCACATGAATCCATGCCTGTTTCTATTCTCTTTTGCAAACACAGGAAAAGCACCAACCGCCTGTTTCTCCACTCAAGCGAGTTGATTTCTGGGGTCAGCTGCACAGGAAGGACACTGGTCTAAGGGCTGCGTGGACACTTCCCTCTGAGAACAGCACAATCCTAAAGCAGTCTGCAAAGTGGGCAAAGGCACTGGGACGAGGGCTCCCCACTTGTTACACCTGCAGGAGCCAGGGGACGCAGCTTCCTCCTCCGGGGGAGAAGGGTAAACACTAACGGGCTGCCTGACCACAGAGCTGTTTCTGGGTCAAATCTCGATGTGATAATTACATTTCAGAACCTTCTCATCGGAGCCGGCGAGAGGCAGGCAGCCCGAACCTCCAGCACTGCTGCTTCCGCCAGCGACGGTCAACGGCTTTCTCAGCGGACTCCGGACACCCTCTACCAAGGGTGCTGGCCTTCCACAGCCCAGATCTCAAGACAGAATTAAGACAAGAAGGCAGGCGAGGAGTCACTCGTCAGACTAGGTGGATGTCCAACTTCTAAAGAGCCCCCATTTCTTCCAAATGATGGATTCATAGGACCAAGAGCAAACCCATTAACAGGTATGTAACCAGCACGCAGCTTCCCCTATACCTGGAGAGTATGTTTTAAAAATTAAAAGGTCAGGAAGCTAGTGGCAGAGTCTTTGTATGTGAAACCGCAGGTGCTCGGGAGGAGCAGAGCATGAGAGAACAGGGTGAGACCGGGTGGGTGGACCCTGCCCACGGAGCAAAGGCCCCACCACAACCTGAAGGACAACAGAGCTGACCCTGCACTTCACAACACAACCCCCTCCAGAGGGAAAAATAGGGCCTTCAAAACGTGGCTCTCCATGCTTGTCCTCTCACAAGTGGCCACCCTCAGCAGGCCCGCAGTCAGCCTTGTGGAATTGCGCACGCAGGCTTTTCCATCAGTGGACATCCCGGCATTTTCGCCACCTAACTCCTGTGCCCTGGCTACATTTTCTTCCTTCCTTCTTCCTTCCTTTTCTTTTCCCCAGGACATCCAGTCCCTTCATTATAAAAGAAAATGCAGGCGCGGGTTTAAAAAATGTATGTTGTGGGGACAGTTGACAGATTACTGCTCATGGAACTCAATTTTACCACCCCAGGTATCACTGGCTCAAAGACAAACAGAGTTGATCAACCTTTTTTGTCCTTGTACATCCATACCCAGGTGACCATGTTCAAGCAAGCAGAAAGTTGATTTAAACCTCATAATGACATCAGTTTTAAGCCATCATCTCTCTGATAAAAAGGAATTGTGTTGTAGTCCACACGACTGAATTCTCAGGCCTCCGTGGCTGAGGGGGCAGGGGAGACAAGCCCGGCTCCCGATCCAAAGGAGATGGCAAGAGTGTGGCTCTCCTTCCTGCAAGAACTCGACTCCAGAAATATCTGCCCGTACAGCGGTGCCATCGTGGCGCACACAGGCACCCTCCAATGCCACGCGAGCGCCCTCCTAATGCTGCAGGGGCTTCTAGTTACAGCAGACTGCCAAGCAGATCCATCAATGCCACCCCAGTGAATTACCTGCCGGTGTCTGATGTGATACTGCAGAGATTACACTCCATGCACCACCACATTCATTTCTTGCACATTATGTATGAGCTTGTCTTGTCCCTGCCCAATTGCCCTCTTCTGGACAGCTTAACTGATATACTATAACAATGAATCTCGGAGAGCAAACTTCACAGCCTAGGAGCAGAGGGAAAGGGAGACGGGGTGAAGCCCGAGGCCAGGAGGTGTGTCCCGCAGCCGGCCCTGGGTCCAACTATGACCCAGGAGGTGTGAAGGAAGCCCAACTGACACTGGGCAAAAGCTCACAATGCGCTGGCCCCATGGCCTTCCTTTCCCTCCTGTGGCGCAGTCACCAAACCTGCCCCTCTGAGGGCAACCGGGGAAGCGCTGATGATGAGGCACCAAGTTGAACAGTCGGGCGCACAGGTGTGGAGGGCCAGAGAGAGGCCGCAGTCCACCTGCAGAACAAGGAGAACCCTCGGGGACAGAAGCTGGGCCTGGCCGACTCCACAGGAAGATTCAGATGCAGCCCCGCTTCCCTGGCTCCACTCGCCAGCCAAGGTCACCAGCCAAGAGCCCCGCCTCAGAGGACACCAGGAAGACCCCACATTTCCAGCCTTCTTCACATGACAGCTGAGCCTGAGACACCCAAAGCTGTGGCCTGCTGCCTTGGAGACACACATCAACTCTGCTGAGGCTCGGAGGACCCAGGGCCGAGGAAGCCACTGAGGTCTGTGGAGCCAGGAACCACCCCCCTCCACGTCCACGGGGCCACCTCTGGATGCCGAGACCCAAGGATGCCAAAGTCCCTTATCTAAATGGCGTTCAGCTTGCAGGCAACCTAGGCATCGTACTCATGCTTGGAAGTACCTCCAGGTCACTGACACCTACTGCAGCGTAACATGACATAAACACTTGTTCTACTGTATGGTGAGAACAAGGAAAATCCTGTACATGCTCAGCAGAGATGCTCTCTCTTTTTTTTAACTGAATATTTTCAATCCATGCTTGGTTGAATCTGCAGATGTGGGACTTACTAATGTGGCCAGCCAAGGACATGGGCACAGGTATGTCACCTCCTCTCTCCTCCCCTGAATAACCGCTTGCCTTCACACACTTGTAAAAGCCAGAGCGGCTTAAGCCAACACCCTGAGTTTCCCTCTTCTTGTGATGTCCAATACCCTCGGGATGAAATGTCAGCGGCTTTGCGGAAGGAACTCATGAAACCTAGGAAACCTTTTCATTTTCAAGGAACCCACGTCTGAGGAAGAACTGGCAACGGAAAGGGCACCTGCTCTGAAGAGGGCGAGAACCTGCTGCACACCACAGGCCAATGAAAAAGGAGAGAGGGAGAGAAAACATGACCTTGATTCTCGCAACTGAACGAGACCGAGTTGAGTGATTTACAGGGGAACAAACACAAATTCACACCTAGATATTTAAGAAATGGCATGTGTGTGAAGCACTACTGGGTCTGAAATACAACGAGTTACATGGTTAACATGACTAACAGCAGCCTCTGAGAGGAGACTTCCTGGTTCCAAACAGAAATGTCCCCAGAGTCGCTCCCCGAGGGACCACTATGCACGGTGCTCCCCCAAGTGCTCCTCTGGCCTCAGGGACCAGGCCCCCAGGACCTCCTGCAGCCTTGCTTTCAGTCTGCACACGCATGTCTCAGAGGGCCATCGCCCCCTCAAGGACCTGGAGCCGCCCCAGACACCTGGCCCCTCCACCCCGAAGCCTGCGCAGGGCCGCCATAGAGACAGGGCTGCATACCTTGAGCGAGAGGCTGGAGGGGAAGGGCGGGCTGCCCGGGCTGGATGGTTAGGAGGCCTTGGCGCTGCAGAGACAGGAGGTGCTGCTGCTGGAGCTGCTGCATCTGTAGGAGCTGCTGCTGGAAGGCCAACTGCTGGGTGGCCACCTGCTGCTGCTGCAAGAGGAGAGGAGAGACATGAGAGGCAGGCCAATCCCAGGCAAGGCAAGAGGGCAGCACCCCAAACTCACCGCCATCCCGAAACCCAGGGTGGCTTGGGCCCAGGGTGGGCTCTGCGTCAGCCACCTCTCAAGAGGAGCTGCCTCGCGGGAGGGCACTCCCTCTGATGGCTGTGCCTGCAGGGACCAAGCTCTCCACAGCGGCTCCCCCTGCAGCCCACCTCGGGCAGTCGGGAGCCAACCTCTGACCTGAGACCTGCAGTCACCCACCCCAGCCTGGGGGGCCTTGAACCCAGAGCCCTGGGGGTGCAGAGGAGCAAGGTGAGGCCTTCTCCGCCTGCACCGGCAGGAGCCTGTAACTACTCTGTTTATCACTCCTGACATAAATAAATGAGAAGAAATCAGACCTTTGAAGAAGAAAAACTTCATCTAATATTGTTAATTAGCCATGACAAACGATGAAATAACATTGTAAATCTTTCATAGAAACAGCCGCTGGATTTTAATTACACACATTCATAATTTACCAAACAACACCAAGGCACTTGACTGCGAGTGCCGGATAGGAGCGGCTCAAAGCTCAGGCGCCTCAACTTGACTGTGGCCTTGGAGGGCCGGGGCCTGCTCGCTGGGCCCGCTTGGCGGGCGCCTGCTTTGTTCTCAAAAAGAAGGGGCTTTAGGACACGGGCGAATCTTCTTGTTGATGGGTCGTGATAGGAGGAAAACTTCTGTTGTGTAAAGCATCAATACAGCATTCCTGTGTTTAGCAGGCCTTGCTCCAGCCAAAAAATTAATGTAGATTTCCTCAGTAATTATCTCAGTGATAGAAAGATAATACAGTGCGGTAGTATAATAAATAGAAGGAAATTATCTAATATCCTTAATCTGCGAGGAATCATTTCGAGGTGGAGGGCCCGGCCACACCAGGGCTAACCGTCACAAAGGGAAATTAACCCTTCCTAAACCGGGGCCAAAAAGAAGGAAACAGAATTCCTCAAAGGAAAAAAATCAGACCTTTTCCTGATTCTGACTCACATTCAAGAGATCAGGGAGGCCAGGAACCGGGTGGGCTGCCCACGCTCGCAGAGCCTGCGTGTTCCCGTCAGCGTCAGGACCCCCCACACAGGGCACTCACTGCACCAACGCACGCCTGGATCCGGGCCCCCAAACGGCGTGCGCACCGAGACCTTCCAAGGCCAAGTCCAAAGAAGTAGAAAAAAGGTGGCTTCCTTCCGGGCTCCACGTAGATTCTTCCACAGTAAAAACCCTCATTCTCCTATTAGCAACCAATTTCAGACTTACTACCATGCCACTGAGAAAGTTAATTGAGTTTCACTCCAAAAAACAAATTCTATACCACTAACAACAAAAATTTAAATAAATTTAAATGAAAAGCCCGTGTTTTCATTTTAAGAACAGCATGCATAAAATGATCCAATTGTCTTCACCCTTCCCAAGTTATCACATTAATGTAAAACCCAATGATAGTTATATTCATGTCAAAATGATTTTTTTCACTTCTTCAACAGATATTAACTCACGACATTATAAGAAAAAAAAAGGGGGGCAGGGAGGGAGAGAAGGACAATGTGGACACTACAGGATCGAGGACTGAGCCCTTCTTGAGGCAGAGTGTGCTGGGGGCCGGAGGCTGGGGAGGGCCTTTCCTGTCTTACTGTAAATGAAATGTTTAAAACATCGTGTATTTATACAAAGTGACTGATGCCTTCTCTGTTGTCTCTGGCCATCCCTAGGAAAACCTCACGAAAGCTGTGCACGTTTGAAAAGCCAGGATATAAAAGTATACAAGGCCCATTGTCCAAAGAAAGAATTTAAAAGCAACACTGGTTGCCAGACTTTGCTCCCCACCCAGTTACCAAACACAGGATACGAGTCCGTTTGTTTACTTCTCACAATTGAATGCGCACAAAAAAGGTCTCCGCACAGTCCCCTGGCAGGTCAGTGGGCAGCGTTAAAACGCAGAAGGGCCTGATAAACCCTGCCTTTCGGATCCCCTCCCTGCGCGCCAGTCAAAGGTCTGGTTTCCCTTTTTCGGCTACTCCCTAGGCCTAACATAAACCGTCATAAATGCCTGGGACAAACCGGCCTTTGAAAACAATCAGCCGGGCCTACCTCACCAGCACTGAACGCCATCTTTCTCTGTAGCTTGATTTCATATTAACTGGGCCGTCCATTTTCCACACCAGTCCCTTCCACGGCTGTGCGGGGCTCCCTCTGCCTCCTCCCACCATGAGCATCTATCTCCTGAGCAGGGACCTGGGTCTAACCCAGCGTGCAGCAAGGCTGCCCAGGGAGACATCTCCAGACCACCTGAGGCAACATGAGGGCTTGCTACAGGTCATCAACAGGGGGACGTAAAACTAACAGCACCAAATTGCGTGCCACTGATGAGTGGCTTGTGATGTGCTTGCTCTACCTGTCAACCTCTAAGTTCAAACCCTCCTAAAAGCACGACCAGCATCATAAAATTGCTACCATGTGGCTCCATTTCGTTCACCACCAAGGGACCACCACCTGCAGGATGAACTTCAGGAGACCAGCCCCGACACCCCAGAGAAGGAGGGACCTACTGACCAAGTCCCACAGCACCAAGAACCGGGTCAGCACCGAGCCAGGAGACCCATGCACTCCACCGGCCTCCACCCCCCAAGGGAGATTCTAGGCCACAACTCTCCTGGGTCACCTCTGCCTGGGAAGGGACCACAGCAGACCTGGCGCTGTGGACAAGGGGCAATGCTGTCACAGTGCATCTCCTGGGTGGACACGGAGCATCTTCTCCCCGCCTCCCTCCGTCCCTGGCTCAGCCATCACCTCCCTCTCTCTGCTCCCCTTCCTGACAGGAGCAATTTTGGAGAGTGAACTTTTATCCTCCTTCCTGCCCTGTAACTTTCCCTTTCTCGTTTCTTCGGAGGCCCTCGGAGCTCATCTGAACTTTCATGTTCTCCCAGCATGAGGACGAGGATTCCAAACTCTGTCTAACAGACCAAATAAGAGGTTAATAAGAAGTGGCAACAGAAGGGGGGAACACAGTCCCCGGTAACTGATAAGAATGACAGTGGCAGCCCTTTATTGTTTGTCTTCAAATATAGAGTTAAAGATCTTTAAAAAACTAAATTTTGATGCCTTTGAAAAGAAAGAAGCACAAAATAACAACAGGGGGTTATTGCCTGTGAGCCACAGGGGAGAGTCTCCATAATTCTTATTCTCCCTTTTGAAGGCTGTTAGAAATCTGATTCAAAAAAGCAACAGCAGAAGGGAACCCTCTCGAGGCTGTAACCATTTCCTGTGATCATGCATAATGTGCTTCAAAAGTGGGTTTTTACCAATTCTGTTGATCAATTGCCCCCCTTCACACCCCTTCTTTTTTCTGCTGTTTACATCTGATGTGACTCAATGACAAGCACTGTCTGAGACTGTGAAACAGGGCTGTCATGTTGATTTATGGGCGCATCAAACCACAACTTGTCCAAACTGAAGCTCGCAGTTCATTAATTAGAGAGTTGTGACTTTGAAGTCAGCTTTCAGACTGTGGTTTTTAACATTTGGCTTAATTTATATGCTCTTGAATGTGGATCTCTAAGGAAAAAACTGAAATTCCCTTCTTGTCTTTGAACTTCTTTTGACCGCACAATAATCATTTCTTTGTCCAGAGTGATGCCTGCAATCCCAGAGTCATTAACGCGCATTGAACTGCCACTGATGAGTAAGCCCTGCTGAATTAGAAAAACAGCCAGCAAAACAAAGCTGAGAGCCTTGTGCAGTGATATCTCACAATTACATGCCTTCCCTCCCTGCGCCATTTCCATTTTAATTACTGTTAGTCCTTTAGATTTACATTTTAGACACTTTTTAATCTGTTCCCTATTTTATTACAGCAGCACCCGGTAGCGCCACTGTACTGAGGGTTGTGTCAGCAATTTCATTTCAACCCCGCCTCCCCTTCACCCCAAAACTGCCCCTGCTCTGCGGGGGGTACAGGAGGCTGCTGAGCAGGGCTCTGGCGAGAAGCTGGCAGGGCACAGAAAGCGGACCCAGCCCGCGAGAGGGAGTGGCTGGCGCACGGGGAGTAGGCGACTCCTGCGTGCGGAAGGAGTGCCACCGCATCTGTGCTCATGGGAGGGACGGGGACGTGGGCAGTCACCTGGTAAGGCCCTCTGCAAGAACGGGAGTGGCCAGCCGCTGAGAGTAGCAGCAGGGAGAGGCGAGAGGAGGAGGTGGGGCTGCCTATGGAACCACAAGGAGGTGACCCAGGAGGTGGCCAGGCACATGTGGGAAGAGGAGGGTGTGGGAGGAGGTGGGCTGGGTGGGCAACTCTGAAATGGGTCCTGGGTGTCCTCACCAAGTAGTCCTCCAGAGGGCGATGCGGAGCCCCAGGAGGGCCGCACCAGGCCTGCTGGCACCCACTGGGGTGGCGGGCCCCATGCAGAAACCCGTGACCCCACAAAGCACAGTACAGAGAAGCTACTGTACCACGAAAACCCTCAGCCAGGATCTGGAGACCCCCAACTTTCCTGGGCCTCGGCCGCTACAAGGCGGAGAACTGTGGGGACAAGCTCAAAGAAGATGGGGACATTGAGTTTTCTTCCAACTCTTGTTGGTCTGTCCAGCCTCACAAAAGCTGACTCTTGTGACAGAAGAGGCCATCGCTGTAAGGCCAGAGCCTCTGGAGCTGGAAAAAGGAAAATCAAGTGTCCCAGAAAAATGCCAAGGACAGCGCTTCACCCCCAGCTACAGCCTGAGCCCAGGGCGCTCTGCCCAAGACCCCTGTCCAGGTCCCCACACGGGTAGGCTCTGGAGCAGCACTGGGAAGATAAGTGGCAGGAAGCAAACGGAACCGAGGAACCTCAGACAACACGACAATAACTCTGGGTCTGAAAGCCGAGAACCGATAGAGTCAGCTCAGTTGCGCAATCACTTAAAAGATGAATGACAGTTTAACAGCCACTAGAGAGTCCTCGGGGAGCTGCGGTTTGAAAGTAAAATATGTATTGTCGGTACCTCTTTAGGCTGCTTTCCAGCATGCTGTTGTTGTAAAAGTTGAAGCTGCAACTGTTCCTGTTGTTTTTTATAAAACTCTTGAAGCTGCTGCTACAAAGGAAAGAGAGGACGGTAAGTAACAGAGGGCAGTGCCGGTCCACTGTCCCTTTCGGTGCCGTATACAAACTGTGATTTGAAAAAGAGCATTCTTCTATCTGTAATGGGCTGACCTTTAGTTTGAAAGTCGACAATAAATTCCGCACACGCTGACTATTCTTGGCATTATTGTTTGAGAAGTAATCTCAAAAATGGACTGATGAAAAACATACCATTTTCTACACAAACTAATTAAAATAAGGCAAGGGATGACCTTTGAGAGTACAACAAAGCCAAGATGCCCTTGCTGAGAGAGTCTGGTGAGTCTCCAGCGCACTCCAGACAGTGGGGGTAGGCAGCGCGGAGCACCAGCCAGCACGGGAGCTTCCTGTCTGGGGTCCCTGCCACCCCTCACCCGCTGCGGGACTCGGTCTCATCCCTTCAGCTCAAGTGTCCACGAGGTCTGAGCATCAGGTCCCCATGGCAGAATGACAGCCAGAGGCTCATCTCAACATGAGCGCAGACGGAAGAAGATGAAAAGTGCACCTTGAAATCAACCAACTCCAAAACGCTTCTTTATATTTCAGGGGAAATTCCGTCAGGGTCTGAGTTGAAATGGGGACTTCAAGAGCTGTCATAGTTAAACCTGCTCCCGCCGTGCCCCTCGCTCTGCTTTGATTCTCGCCATCAAGAAGCCTCTGGGCTTCGCAAATAAAAGAGTGGTAAGCCACCTAAGCCCTGAGACCTTTCTCCACCAAGTCCAGTGACAGCCCTGATCTTGGTCCCAAAGCCTGGCCACTGTGGCACGGCTGTCTCTTGGGGACACAGATGCAACCCACCCCTTGGGGGCTGGTCTGCAGACTGCTACAGCCACCTGCCCTCTCCAACGGGAATGGCGGCCACTCCGCCAAGGGGCCATTCTGAACGGGCGTGGTGGGGGTGGGGATGGTTACCTGCTGAAGCATGAGGGCCTGCTGCTGCTGGAGGAGCACCTGGAGCTGCTGAGGGCTCAGCACCTGCTGCTGGAGGATCTGCTGCATCTGCTGCGGAGTGATAACCTGAGGTGTCATCATAGCCACCGACACGGGGACCTGGAACGTAACCGAGCGTGAATATAGGCCAGGAAACCACAGCACGCTGCGTCCCGGGCCAGCGGCCGGCTGCCCCCAGCCTGCCCAGAGAGCTGACCACCTTCCCAGGCAACGCGGACCTCGGCAGAGGGACGCAGCGCCGACCGCTGTGCCATCTCCCGTGGAGTCTGTAGAGGGTGATTTTTGTGGCACTAGGGATGGAACCCAAGGCCTCAGACACACTAGGCCAGCACTCGACCACTGAGCGACAGCCCCAGCCCTGGAATTTATTTTAAATACAGAAAAACGAGATCTTTCAGCCCTGATGGGGGGTTCCAGAAAGTCTTAGAGACAGACAAGGAGGAGAAACTTAACAAATGCTATCCGGATCTGGGATAGAAAGAGCTCAGCTTCTAGTTAAGAACGAGTCTTCAATCAAAACGAGCTGGAGGAAGTTAACCCAAACTTGAATTTTGTATTAAGGGAGAAGGGACATAGGACCCCATAGCTTTGCAGCTGGAGTTATGGGACGCACTTCCCTTGTGCATAGCAATTTTCAGGACAATCAATAATTGCCAAGTCCCATTGATAAGGGAACCTCCGAGGCGCCCTCTGAACCTGAGCACGGACCCTCTCCGTGACGCCTTCACCCTTCCTTGTTCACCCAGCACACAGATGTCTCAATTCTTTCATATTATGTGCGATACCATTAAAAGCCGCTTTCCATGACATTTCAGTGACAAACAGCTACAGTGATGAACTTGATAGCATTTCATATTTGCAACTGTTAACACGTTTCTGCACGGGCATCTTTGCAAGGAACCTGTACACTGGATCTGAAAGGATGATGTCTTGTTCAGATAAAACACTGACATTAAAATGACAGCCTGTCTTGGCCAAGGTTACACAAATTGTATTCAAGCGGATACCTAATGACAATGCTATGAATTCCGCGAGCTTTCTAGAATGTAATTTAGCTATTCAAAATAATCACTGCACTTGTGTTTAATTTGCAGACTACATGAGAACCATTTTGTCAGTCCCCGTAATGCAAGACTATTTCATGAAGAATCACCCCCCCACACACACACCCCAATGAAAAGATAAGAAAAGAAAACAACGAAGGAGAAGACAAAACCCGTATGTCTTGGAAGAGTAATATTTAAGCATCTTACTTCTCTTTGGTTTCTAATCAAACATGTGACAGCAAGAAGCAAGAGGCAGTAAAGGATATACTTTGTTAAAAAGGATCTGCTGTCATCTCACGTATTACAATAAAAGGTAATAACATGTTTTGCACTTTGCCTGTGTGCCACTTGAAAAAAATTCAGCAGACAATAGCTGATCAGAAGATAAAAGAATTAAAAAAAATCTTTCAGGGGAACAGTAAGCAAAAGGGAGAAATGCAGTATTAATTTTATGTAACATAATGTCTTAATGTGCAGTTTATCTTGACTCTCTCACATGATCTGTCCTGTCATTTGCATAGCGAGCTCTCATTCCTAATTTCACAGTCATTATGCTCTGATGTCCCGATTTCTCAGCATCACTAATTTTGATGAACTAAAAATGGTTCCTGAAGGTCAGATTCATGTACAGTGAATGCTCTGCACTGTTGCTGTGGGCATGTTGTGTGTGGGGATGTTGACGTGCAAGTTCTGCATGTTTAGAAAACACTAGCTTGAATCCTGGGAAAATTTCATTAACCCAGCTCTGGAAGGTCATCCATGAATTCTTCCTATTGCAGTGGCCTTTTAAGTGTAGATGTAGATACACTGTAATTTAAAACAGATGGGCATGTCTGAATATTTTTATATGCAAAAAGGGACAGATGTATATGAATGGATAAATTATCCTTTTAAAAAGATAATTCGCAGCATGAAATACCACCAATGATCGGAACGGCGAACTTGCATTCAGTCAGGGCAAACATCAAGATGACATTACCCAAACATTCAACCACCTACAAATTATTTCCAATTAGTTCACTTTGCCTTTGCCCAGAAGAAACTTTCTGGATTCTCAAATGCGCACGGGGTGCCAGTCATTGTCTGGGGCTGCTGAGGCCACACGTCACCTCACGGGGTTTACTTTTCCTTGGGAGTTGCATCACGGACCCGGCCAGGAGGTTCAATTAAGCAAACAAAAGAGCCATGTTTAAGGTTTCTTTTTTCCTCTGCGTTTCTTGGATGATGTACAATATAAATATTCTTGAGCCAAATTTCTAATGGTGATGAACAGGAAAACGCACAGGAATGGGTGGTGTAAGGTCTGAACCGATGGGGAACGTGAACTTCACAGAGTTGTAACACAAGTCAGCACAGAAACAATCCCCTGGGTGTGAATACTCAAGAGATCTATGGACATCCTGTTAGCAAGGGGCCAGGGAACTTCCGGGGGCACTCCGACCAGGGTGGTGGTCACACAGATGCATGGAACTGACAGAAGAAGTCTTCTGCCTGTACCCTTAGTAGGAGTGCTGTGGGCAAAGGACACCTCAGTGAATCAGTTTTTTTAGAAGTTTTCCATACGCACACACATACGTGTAGACACACATGCTTGTGCATGATTGTGTGTGTGTGTGCATATGTGTGTATGTATTCTGGAAGTTTTATTTTCTTTCTAACTCTGGTAAAATTGCGTGCATCTTCTTGAATGAGGAATACCACTGTCTCTTGACTGTCAATAAAAGGGGAGGGGTGATGAGGGACAGAACCTACACAGAGAATTTTCCAACCTCACAGACAGCCCGCAGTTTAAGGCCCCTTTCCCACAGTTATCTATTAATCTTCTGCAGTTATGCTGCAGAGCAGTGGATTGACCCTCCCTTGCTTTCTTCCTCTGGACACTTTGATGGAGAAGCTGATGAGCAGCAAAACGCTTGGAGCAGCAGCCGCCCAGCCCGGCCCATGGCAGGACAGCAGCAAGAAGCTGGAGTGATCCTCTACCCCAGCTGATGGGTCCCTGAGTGACCAGAAGTGGCCATTGTGTCCCAATGGCTTGAACTTGGGTTTTACTGTCCGAAACCACATTTTCTCACCAGTTAGCACCAAACCTCTAAAGGGAGGCTCAAGATTAATTTATAAATGCAATAAAACTGAGATTTCCCCGAAGTTTCTGCTCCAACAGATCAGGAAAGGAGGTTATGGGAAGCTTTAGCAAACATATTCAAATGGATCGGAAACCATGGTGGGGTAGGGGGGAAAAAAATCAGAGCACAGTTTAAGGCTTTAACTAGTTAAGAATTACAGCCATGTATCCACTGCCCGAATTCCCAGCGTCCAACTTTCTCATGCGCCAGTCCCCACTAATACTGGGAATCAAAGGGCACGCAGGACCAGCGACGGGCTATTACAGCCCGCACTTTATTGCCCATTACTACTGAGGTCATTAGCGGCAAGAGTGATCGCAGCAGTCTTAACCTATTGATCACTGTAACTGCTATCATTTAATCCTGGGTTGAATGTGTGGAAAGCAGCTAAAGGCACACAGGAGAGAGCGCCTCGCACTGAGAAATATGGCCAGAGCTCAGAAATTACACTCTGATTCATAAAATCTAGCCAGTGGTTTAAATCAATAGTATTTAAAACAGTCATGTGAGTTTTTAACTACAGCGGTCTCATATTTACGGGCCCCTCTTTGAGAGTATTCAGTGAAAACGAAGCTTTCCTCTTTTCCAATCCCACGCTGGCCACCTTGCTCTCCCGGAGATAAACACGTGCGTTTCTGATGTTCTCGGAGCCACAGGGCCTGGTGCCTATCTGGCAGTTTAAGCTAATTTTTTTCTTTCTCATAAGACAATTTAAATATAAGACAATATATATATATATATATATATATATATATATATATCCCTGATACTGTAACTACCTCAGCTGTTTGAGTATATAGAAATGAGTGTTTTATGAGTTAACAATGAATCATAGAAGGCAATTTATGAAGAACTAGAATGATTCTGTCTAGCTGCCTTCAGGGATCAGAAATTCAAATTAAACTCCTGGCAGACATTTAAAGAATGCTAGCATACAAAACTGAATTTAAACACACACACACACACACACACACACAGAGTTAACACTATTTAGTTGAGTTTCAAGAGGAAATCATGAATTAAAAAAACACACGGCATGATCCACTGTTGACTGATACCAGCTGGGTGTGGCGGATCCCAGGTGCACTGGGACCTGCGGGAATGGCAGGAACACCACTGTGCCCGGGCCACAGACCTCTGCTAGTGTGGGCCTGCTGTTCTAGCCCCAGAGCAGCCATGGGAGACTGTCCTCAGCCACCAACTGCTGTCCCAAGCCCCTGCACTGCCCAGCAAGTTCTGCCTCTGCATGTCTGAAGGCCTGAGGACTAGTCACATAATGGGCCTTATTGTTGTCTTTTATCTCAGGGAGAGGCAGGTGATGGGAGGGGAAAATCTGAAAAGCAAACAAACAAACAAAAACATTGGAGAAACAATGCTTCATTCTAATCTAGGAGACAATTGAAGGAATTGGGTGGGAGGCAGACGACACAATATCAATACTGAAAATAACATGTTATCATGTTTTTCCCTCCCTGTAGCTTAGGCTCCAGCTAAGGACCGGCAGGGAGGGAGGGGGAGAGGGAGAGCAGACAGACACACACTCTGCCCATCAGCATCTCCTCCTACCACTGTGGACAAACTATAAAACCAGGAAGAACAAAAATTTATGCATGCTGCTTTATTTCCACAAACCTTTCTTTAAATTTATTTTCATTAAATAACCTCCACCCCCCCCCACAAAAAAAAAAAATTAGGAACTGCTGTTAACCTTTGCTCATTCACCACTGTGTGTCCCAGGAACTAACTTCCCCCCAGACACCAGGCTGTTTGGTGATGAAGTGATCTGGTTAGGCAGTGTTACCTAGTTAATCACATAACAAGAGCAAAACAAATTAAATCAGAAGGCTCCAGCATGTCAAAACAAAAGCAAACAAAGAAAATGGCTCTATAAAAAAAAAAAAAAAAGAAAGAAGGAACAAACTATGCCAAA